TGGGTACATCATTGATATTCTGGGAGAATTTCCCCTCCATTAGTGCAGCCTAGCTGCAGGGTCGGTGTCTCTGAACATCCACAGCTAATGCTGATAAAGGGCAACTCCAGCACAGTACAATCACTACAGGCAGCTGGAAGGGCCCATCGCAGGCAAGACAGATGGGAACATTATGTAATACTGTAAGCTAACTAATACTAGCTACAGGTTTAACCAGGGAAATATTCACAAGAAGGTTCATTTTAGGGTTGATGAATAGTACTTCTGACAACCAAAAGAAAATATGCTGTTTGTAATTTTTCTTTATTCATAATATGTAATACTGTAAGCCAACTAATACTAGCTACAGGTTTAACCAGGGAAATATTCACAACAAGGTTCATTATGGGGTTGATGAATAGTACTTCTGACAACCAAAAGAAAATATGCTGTTTGTAATTTTTCTTTATTCATATGATATCAATTTTACGTGATCAATCTGTTCATTAATTTTTCAGTCTGGTGAATCTGTTAAGATACCTGTAGGCTTGGTTTTCCGTCATAAATATTTTGATTCTTTCTGTTCTAACTTTGCTTGTCATCAATTCTACTAGTATTTGTTCTATAAAAATTATTTCCTGTACATCTGCACTATATACATGCAATGTCATAAAGGTTTGTGCTAAAATTGAGAGCTTTTAAACAAAATCAACCAAACGTAAGGTACATTAATTGCTAACCCATAGATTGTACAAAAGACTGTAACCACCAAAATATGATGCATTATTCTGCCCATACTAATTTCTAAAAGAATTTGTTATGTTTCCCATTTCTATACCTACAACCTCATACTTATTCATGCCTTTTACTTCATTTTTCAATAAATCAAAGTGTACATTTATAGGTGCATTGCCACTGTCTTTGCACCAAAGCAAGATGCAAGTTGATGACTGTTTATTTCAAATATAGGGAATGTCCTTGGTGCTGACAACAAGATTGTTGGGCACAGTAAGACCCTCTTATACAGTCTCTTGCTAACCTGATGAAATTGGTGCATTGCCACTGTCTTTCTGCACCAAAGCATGAAGCATGATTCTGCCTGTACGAATTTCTAAAACATGGTAAAAGAGATACATGGTCCATGACCTGTTGCAGTCAAGAACACAAATCCCTTCCCAAAAGCAACAGGAGTTATCTTCCCAGGAAATCTTCCCCATCCATCAATATGTCATCCATACATTATCCTAACACCTCCGCACGTAGACACCAGGCTCAGGGTATAGTAACACCCAGCTATTAAAGAAAGGTTACAGGGCTTGAAATACTGGGTGCATGTGCGCCTTCGTGCACCCAAATTTGGAGCTGTGTATTTGACTTTTCTCTGTGGGTGCACCCAAATATTTTCATAGGTTTACATAACATGTAATGATGTCAAATTTATAAATGTAGTAGTATGCAGCATATTCTTAACATCTCCATTGTAAGTGTCAGAAAAATAAAAACATTGTTGTAGTACTTTTCTCTAGAAATTAAACCTACTTTGTTATTGCTGACACTCTAGTTTTTCTATTTTATATGGTACACCCAAAAAAAATTTTTGGCATCCAATTTTTTGAAGGTAGGGTGCACCAGTGCACCTAGTCCCAAAAATGAATTTTGAGCCCTGGGTTGGGTCTAAATGTTCCATCTTCATGGACTATACGAGGAAAGCAAGTGGTATGGTTTAAATCACGATACTATGCTAAACAGAGTCCTGAAAGTCTAGGACTCACCTGAATCAGTCTGTCATAATTTGTGACCCGTAACCAATGGAATTGCAACAGAACTACATGGCACTAAACTAGGACACTCTAGTCTGACTGTGTCAGAGAAATCCACATTGCGGTACGTGCAGTTTAAGAACAAATCAGCAGGGGGCAGCGGATGCATGACACGCACACGCACTCCTTCTATGCTATGGAACTGGAGCAGACTACATGGAACTAAACTAGGACACTCTAGTCTGACTGTGTCGGATAAATCCACATTGCGGTACGTGCAGTTTAAGAACAAACCAACAGGGGGCAGTGGATGCATGACACGCACACGCACTCCTTCTATGCTATGGAACTGGAGCAGACTACATGGAACTAAACTAGGACACTCTAGTCTGACTGTGTCGGATAAATCCACATTGCGGAACGTGCAGTTTAAGATCAAACCAACAGAGGGCAGCGGTGCATGACACGCACTCATTCTATGCTATGGAACTGGAGCAGACTACATGGAACTAAACTAGGACACTCTAGTCTCTACTGAGTAACTCTGTAGATCTACCTGACTGTGTCGGAGAAATCCACACTGTTGGAGGGAGGGATGGATGAAGATGTGGACAGGATGATAGAGAGAGAGAGGGAGAGAGAGAGAGAAGAGAGGAATAAGATGTAGCAAGAGTTGTAGAAGAAAACGAGCAATGTGAGGAAAAACCTGGGCCATCTCCTCACACGGTGGATTGCAATGCATGTTCCATTATGATCCTAAGAATGAAAATGTTACAAATATAGACAGAAAACTTTAAGGTTAAAATCACTTCAAAAATTCTTAAGGATCAAGCATTATAATCCACTTTGTGTTAAGACATAAGGCCACACCAATCTAATTTCTTGGTTAACGGATTTGCCCGCTTCGTTTTTTTTTCTGATTTGCTAAAAAAAAATTCAGAATCAACTGCAAAATGCTCATATTTTGCCATAAAAAGGTGCAAACTTTTCTTCCTAGTTGTTACAGTTATTCCATCTTTCAATGCATTGGTATCATTAAAAGTTCAAAATCCATTGTTTAAATTTTGAACCAGCCTGGTGTGTTGACTTCATGGCTCCTATCGTACCATTTTGGGCCATAATAGGATGCCTAGGCCTGTTTTTATTTTTTATTTTTTTCGCCCGCCCACTCCATTATTTTTCTAGAAAAATCCGTTAACCAAGAAATTGGTATGGCCTAAGAGCCCAAGGCAGAAATGACTCAAAGAGAAGTGTGAGAGAAAGAGGGCTATCAAAGAACTGTCCTACAAGAAAGAATGTTAATTAAAAGTAATAAGTTCAAGCACCTGTGTTGCCCTTCAATGTCTTTCAACCTGTAAGGTCACAAAGAGTAGGAATAATTGAAGAAACCCTGAATATCTATATCTATTTTTTTAATAGTACGAGAAATGGATGAAAAATAACAATCATAGAAATAGACATGTACAAAGAGTTTGTTGTGAAATTGTGTGAATATAAATGTACCTAGGGGGATGTGATCTTTCTGACCTGTAGAATAAAAGGTGACAGGTTTATTAACTTGGAATACAGTATATTCAAGTTAAGAGTTACAACTTAAGGCCACACCAATTTAATTTGTTGGTTCTCGGATTCGCCTCTTCATTTTTTTCTGATTTGCAAAAAAAAA